TCATCAAAAACTACAAACTCTTGCTTGGAGAAATCAAAGAATACCTAAATAAAGAGAGAGATACATCTTGTTTGTGCATCAGAAGACTCAGCACTGTTAAGACACATCTCCTCAGGTTGGTACGTCGATTCGGCGCAGTCCCTGAGCACACGCGCCGAAGAGTCCCAAAGCTTTCGCAGGCAGACGGCCTGGTGAAGCCCCGGGCACCGGCTGCCCGGGCTCGTGCTGAGCCGTGTGCGTCTGACAGTGCTCTCTGCGATAGAAGGGATGTCGAGGGGTGGCGAGGAGGCCAGGAGCCCGGGCCGAGCCAGGAGGGTCCCCAAGGCAGGTCGAGCAGGCCCAGGTGGGAGGCGGAGATTCACCCAGAAGTGTGACGGCCATTATCTCCAGGTCTCCAGTGGTGGGATTATGGATGAATATTCTTTACTTCTTTGTGTTTCTATTTTTTGACAGTTTCCACCCCCCCGAGCAGACTTATTTCCATTGTAATCAGAGAAACAGCAGGCTCGGTGGTTGATTCCTACCGCATTTTGTTTTTTGCATGTCTGTATAATTTGAGTATTTTATCAGAAGGTTGTATTTGTTTTTATACTCAGAAACAAAAGGCAGACAGGCAGGCTGGCAGAACATGACCTGTGGCTGAACCCGTGGCTGAACCTGTGGCTAAAAATAGGTCTTAAGAGATTGCGAGGAACCCCTGGTGGGGCCGAGTCTCAGTAACCAGGTCATGGAAGCCACATGAATGCAGAGGAGCGAGCCACTGCGCACAGATGACTCGTCACCTTCCTTCCAGATCTGACTTTCGACACAGAATGCCTCCAGTTAGTACATCAAGTCATCTTAGAACATTAATTCTCGGCTCCTTAATTCCATGAAGGCGGATTGGGGTCTCTAATTACTTAATTGCAAAAAATAGACACTTCTGGCTGCTGTGGCGTTTGGGAGGTAATCTGTGCAACCTGACAGTCAGCATTAAACCCAGTCGGCGGAAGCGAGTAGCAAAGATGCTTCTCCTGTCACCGGGGTAGCTTTGAGAAGTGGCTGACTGGTCCGCCTTGATGCTGACACCATTGTGTGTATATCATCCTGGAAAGGCAAGTCTGCGTTTTTCACTTCAGAGGGAAGTTATCCGACAGTTTACAGACTGATGGCTTTCCTCAAACACCTTTCCATCGGGGATGCAGGAGGCCCCCGCCCCCAGCCTGGCCAAGAACTCAGACTTCGGTTTGCTGCTTTTGGCATCATCCACGGAGGGCGGGGTCCCTTCTTCCTTCTATCTCTGATTGCTACTGCGGTCCACCCTTCCCCCTCCCCTCCTCCTCTCCCTCCCCTCCCCT